CGGGACTTGTTGCATGTGCCCGCCCCCTGGGCTCTTTACTTTACTGGCTCCTGTGTGCTCCTGCAGGAAATGACCCCTGTAGAAAGGGCACATTTTTTTGCCTTCTAAAAACTGTCCAGGGCAGTGCCAGTCAGGCTATCTCAGTCACCCTAGTATCTTTCTGTCTTCATTTCCGCATTCTGCCTCTAAACCACAAATCTTTCACTGGTGAGAGCTAATTCTGGCCATCCCGATCTCATCAGCTCTCAGAAGCTAAGGCAGGGCTGGTCCTGGTTAGTGCTTGGTTGGGAGACCACCAAGGAAGCTCAGGGTTGATACACAGAGGCAGACCAATGGCAAACCCACCTCTGCTCAATCCTGTCAAATCTCGGAAGCTAGTTAGGACTGGCCCTGATTAGTACATGCATATTCATACATGCACAGACCTTTCCTGGCATATGTCAGGTTACAGAAAGAAACAGAAACAGATAAAGAGCCGCCCTGAGCCGTTTGCGGGGTAGGACGGGGTAGAAATACTTGAATAAATAAATAAAATAAATAAATAAGTCAATCGTATGTAAGTATACATTGTGCATAGCGTATGTAACTATGCATGTCAGGTTAACAGAAAGGAACAGAAACAGATAAAGAGGTAACGAGAAATAAGTCAATCGTATGTAACTATGCATTGTGCAATCGATCCTTAATTACCAAACTTAGAAATAAGGCAACCTTTTCAGTTATTTCAGGAGATGGCGCACCTTCAAAGCATCCGGGCAGCCTATCGTGTTTAATAAAACTGGGTCTAAAAGAGTAAAACGTATGTCATCATATTGGGGGTCAGTATAGGAGAATATGGAAAACCGAGTCAACTTGATTTAGATGGCATGCACAGAGTCTTGCTGAATATGGAATCCCTTTGTATCTACCCTAAGTGACAGCAGATGGAATAGTATTGCATCTAGCAAGTGCAAGTGCTCGGCGCAGTTGTGGGCCGTGGAGGGCTGATAAGTAAGAAGGCAGATGGCCAATAATTGGGAAAATTCCAAAATCCAAGGGGGAGCAGGATCCCTGATTAGTACTTGGGCAGGAGGGGCTTCCAAGGAAGTCTGGAGTCGCTGTGCAAAGGCAGACAATGGTGAACCACCTCTGAACATCTCTTGCCTTGAGAACCCTGCTCTGCCCTGCCTTGCCGCGTTCCATCAGGTCTGACTTTCTCACCCACCCATTTGCTCTGTACTGTTCCGTCTACGGCTCCCCACAATCAGAATCCCTTGGGGCTTTTTCATCGTGCGGCAGATGCCATCAAACGCTTTAGCAACGTTTAGTAACGTTTGTGAACTGATTAATAATGTTATAGATTTTAAGGTTGCGTCGTATTTCAATTATGTTGCATGTTTTAACCATGTTGTAACCCACCCTGAGCCTGCTGTGCAGGGGAGGGAGGGCTAAACATCAAATAAATAAAATAAGTTGGCTGCGACTTGAGGGCACTTTCCACCAGTTAAGTCAGTGGGTACAGATTCCAGCATCACCTCCAAAGAAACTGTGTGTCCATATTTATTTATTTATTGCTCTCTCTTTTGTCTCTATTTCATTTTTTGGCCCCACCGTGCAGCAGGTGGGGTAGAACCTTTTATCCCGTTGTGCTGCAGCCCAAGACGGCGTGATTCATTTTCACTTTTAGAGTTTACCATCTTGTGTCAAAATCAGGCCCGAAGTGTTAAAAACAACAGCAACAGACCTCTTGAAACTAACTTGGAACCTAATTAAAATTGCAAGCTGCTGTTTATCCTTTGAACTGGAAGACTAATGGAAGGGTGTAAAAGTACTTGAGCTTTTTGAACAAAGGGCATTGACCGTTGGGGTCCGAAATGTCACAAGGTCTTGAATTTGTTGTGTACGGATAGGTAAGAGTGTTTGAATGAACTGCTGTGGTTCCTTCAGGCTTGAGAGTGTGAGTGGTTATCAGGAGGAAAGGCCAGGCTGCCGCTGACATCGCTAGCCTGAGAAATGTGGCTGTCTTACGAAAAGGCCAGGGCCGCGTACGGGATGGTTGAGCCAATGTTCCCTCTAAGCTGTGGAGTCTTGTGAGCTAAAATTCTACTTTGTGAGCTACTGGCGTTAAAGTTGTGAGCGAGCGATTTGGCTACTGCACAAATTAGTTTGCTCTGGAGCCCCATCCTTCCTGAGCTAAGACAAAAATGTGTGAGCTGGAGGCTAAAAAACTGTGAGCTAGCTCACACTAACTCAGCTTAGAGGGAACACTGGTCGAGACTGAACCCATAACAGGGCCGAGGTCTTCTGGAGACAAGCTGCACACTCTGCTAAGGAGTGACCGCCTTCCTTCAGATGGTTTGCTTTTCTCCTGCCACTTCATAGCCCTCCAGTTTCTAATATCAAAATGTTTAGTAAGACACGGCAACTTGGATACAGCCTCCTACATGTAAGACACGGCAACTTGGATATAGCCTCCTACATCCCACTTGTCGGGCTGTCTTGCAGGAGTCTGAGAAGATCATCGCAGAGCTGAACGAGACATGGGAGGAGAAGCTGCGGAAGACAGAGGCCATCAGGATGGAGAGGTGAGGCAAGAGGAATTAGGATCTCTTGATCGTTTGAAGCTCTTGAGCTGTGTAACTCCGCACTCAGAACTCTTGTTGATCCTTGCTTGATAAAAAGCAGAGGAGAGAGAAGACGGATTTTAAAAAGGTAACGAGGCCGGGAGAGGAAAGGGCAAGCTTATACAGAAGAGAGCAGGCAGTGAGGTGGATGTGAGTCTAAAATGTAGTTGCTAGAAACTGGAAATTTACTTTCACAGTTATATGAGAACAACGGGGAGACTTGGGTAGGGGTGGACAACCCCCCCCCCCATAAATAAATCCCCAGGTTCCTATAAAGGTAAAGGTTTCCCTTGCTCAAAAGCCAGTCGAGTCTGAATCTTAGTGCTCATCTCCATTTCCAAGCCGAAGAGCCAGCGCTGTCTGGAGACATCTCCGTGATCATGTGGCCGGCATGACTTAAACGCCGAGGCACACGGAACGCTGTTACCTTCCCACCAAAGCGGTACCTATTTATCTACTTGCAGTTTCCTGCTTTCGAACTGCTAGGTCGGCAGGAGCTGGGGCCAGAGACGAGAGCTCACTCCGTCACGCGGCACTCGGGTCCCAAACTGCTGAACTACAGACCTTCCGGTCTGCAGCTCAGTGTCTTCACCTCTGAGCCACTGTGGCCCCTTCAGGTTCCTATACCATAGTGTGAGTCCTTCGCTGAGAGTTTGAGAGGTTACATCAGGAGTCTCCTTAACTGCAAAGGTCAGAATGATTTGTTAGGAGATTATCATCAACAGGTAGCTTTGGGTGTCATTTGGTCACTTCATTTTCTGATTATTCAGTCCAGGGACTTGTATTGGACGAACACCCTCCCGCCCTGCCGCCCAGCATTCTGTAGCTTGAATGTTAGATGTGGTTCCGTGACGTCCTGTCCTCTTTCCTTTCTCTGCAGAGAGGCTCTGCTGGCTGAGATGGGAGTCGCCATTCGAGAAGACGGAGGAACCCTTGGAGTGTTCTCGCCCAAAAAGGTACGCAGAGCAGTTGAATGATTGCACCAAGATTGCCGATAACTTGGCGAGTCTTGTTCGCTACTGTGTTGCTTAGGGCAGGTTTTGGCTGTGGCCCGGGTGCTCAGAGAACCACGGCAGCCTGTAGCCATCCTGCCGCTCTGCAAATATTTGGCCAAGAATTGCACGTGGCAGCACACAATCCATTTTTAGGGTCTGAAACCGTCCACCTCCTCCCGCTTGAGTAAGGGTTTGCACAAGCTAAAGAATGTGCGTGGGTTAGTCTCCTTTTCTTCCCCTTTCTCAGAGCAAGTATAAAATGCCCCGTCTATACACAGAAGGTTCTTTTGTGTGTGTGTAGACAGGCCTCTTTGGCTCCAAACCACGGGAACTGTTGCGTGCAAGCTCCTCCTCTCTTTGATGGGATGCGGCTTATGCTTACTGGGAAGTGCGGCTCCATGACGAGGTGGAGAACTGAAACCGCCGTGCCCTTCATTTGTGACACTGGCATCCAATGCTAACGTCTAATGACAGCCAGTGTGGTGCAGTGGTTAGAGTGTCAGACCAGGGTCTGGGAGACCCAGGTTCAGTTCCCCGCTCTGCCAAGGAAGCTTCCTGGGTGCCCTTGAGCCGGTCGCGCACTCTCTCAGCCCGGCCCACCTCAGAGGGCCGTTGTGAGGATGAAAGGCAGGAGGAGTTGATGCAGGGACGTAGCCAGGATTTTTCATTTTGTGGGGCAGTTTTTTTCCTCGTGGGGCACCTATTATGCTTATACTTTAAAATAATAAATAACTGGAGGTTTTGGGAGCGGAGCCTGAAGAGGAGGGGGCTTGGGGTGGGAAGGGGAGGGGCTTCAGTGGGACGTGATGCCTCAGAGCCCATCTGGAGATCTGGCGTAACACCGGGGGGTCTCCAGCCACCACCTGGAGATTCTGTGATAAAAATAACATTTAATAATTCATGTGAACATCAATATGTATATCTATTCAAACATGACAATTTTGCTTAGGAAATTCTGACATATTCAAGGAAAAGTCCAACATCGTGATATCCTTCCAATCACTCCGCTTTCCAATTTATAGGACAGAAGGACTCCCATTCAAGCTGTATCTGGAGAAGTGAGCAGTGACTCACGAAAGCTCATCCCCTGCCACGTATTTTGTTTAGTCTTTGAGGTGCTCCTGGAATCTTGCTCTTTTCTACAGCTACAGACAGACTAACACGGCCACCCTTCTTGATTCTGTAGAAAGTGAAGTTAAGTGCCTTGCAGGCATTGGTGTCTGAAGGCTTGCTAGCCAGCCAGCTTGTGAGGAAAAAACTAGTTTCCTGCGTCATATCAATGCTGTGCTGTCCTTGAAGACTACCGTGTCTGCAGAAAATCTTGCTCATCCTCTTTGAGATAGTCAGAACCTTTGGACTGTAATACGCTCACCCTCTGTGGTTTGGAATTTGCCCCAAAACAGCCTCTGTTGCATCTGGCAACACAGCATTTCTAGCAGCAAGGGTTTATCTGGCAGGGAGCATCAGGTTGGCTTGCTGATGGGCCCGTCCATAAGTAATATGCTGGCTCATTCCTAGCTGTTAGTGCAGTCAGAAGAAGAATATCCTTAAGAAGAAGAAGAGATTGGATTTATACCCCGCCCTTCACTCAGAGTCTCAGAGTGG